TGACTAACTAGCTATTCATCAGTATGCGTACTAGCAGAGCCGAAATTTCTGTGTTGTTATTTCCGAAATGCACACAAGGTTTCTTGGGATTAATGCACATTCTAACACTGTATTTGTTTAAATCTAAGTGATATTGATATGTTGTGTTCATTATACTGGTCTGAACTTCGGAGAAATAATCAAGACTAGCACGCTAGAGATATACTTAAATAGCCGGTCACATCTTGTGTGTAAACTCTTTCAATCACGCTTAACACATTTGATTGAACAGAGTTATTGGTATTCATGTTTCATTTTTACTGTCTATATCTAGGTGAATTGTTGCTCAGCATATTGTTTCTTCGATGCGTAGTGATTAATTAATTAAAGTAAATGTACCCTATATCCAGTTCAAAAGACTGACTAGTGAACAAAGAACATTTTTTTCGATAAATTCGTCATCAGATGGTATGACCATAGGACCATAATAATCAGATAATTATTGTTATTTACAACATTAATGTTTTAAGTTACGTTGAGTCAGTCGCATCGATAGATTACATTCCAAAAGCACCAGATAAAGATAATATGCATCGGTATAATACTCAAGTGATTATCAGATAACTTAGGGAAAGTAACAGGATGTATGAATTTCGAAGACAAGCGGAGAAAATTTTATTCATCGACGAAATCATCTTCAGAGTCTGTACAGTCGTATTTATACTTAACAAAAATCTATAGTAGTCTACTATTGATTAATGGGGGGTGACAATTGATATAATTACTCAGAAGTGGCTTTAGAAGTAAAAAATAAAAGTTGTAAATTACGTGGTACTCAACGGCACAAAGTTAGAAATTTGATACGGTTAACATTGCTGTTGAGTGAGAATAAAGGTAGTTGAGTGTCGATTTAACAAATGTGAATGGGGTGTGAAGATGTACAAAAGGAACATATGAGAGTGATAATAGTGAATTAATTATTAAAGTAAAAGCAAATAATTTTTTAAATTTAAATTTTCAATTTTACTTTAAGTTTGCTTTTACTTTAATAATTAATTCACTATTATCACTCTCATATGCTCCTTTTGTATATTTTCACACTCTCTTCACACTTGTTAAATCGACACTCAACTGCCTTTATTCTCACTCAACAGCAATGCTATTATTATTATTATTGTATCCTTTAATTCCTAGAGGAACATAGGGCTTCAGCCGTGCGTCTCCATTGCGTTCTGTTCTCTGCTAGAGTCTTCAC